ACCTCACGCTTGCCAGGCAGGCACTGTGCCACTGAGCTAAATCCCCAGCCCCGGGATTTTATATTTTTTTAAGTAAGCAAAGACTGGGGCATATTTAAATGCAGATGGGAAAGAGCTTATAGAAACTAAAGGGTTAAATACATGATCTCAGGATATTGATGGAGTGTAGACCTGAAGAAGAAAGTATGGAAATCAGTTTTTTTCACAAAATAATTTTAATACTTTGTGTCTGAGCTAGCAGTGTCTTGCCTTGTGACATTCCTGTACATACATACATATATATATAAGCATTTACCCAAGTACAAATAGTAAAAGTAGACTAACAAGTGGGCATGGTGGTGCATGCCTGTAACCCCAGCACTCAGTAGGCTGAGGCAGGAGGATCACTGCAAACTTGAGGCCAGCCTGGACTGTAGTAGGTTCAAGGCCAGTACTACTCAGCTGACCCAGAGCTGCACAAGGTCAGCCTGAACTACACAGTGAGACCCAGTCTCAGAAAACAACAAAGAAACAAACAATGTCAACATCAGAATCCACACAGTTAGCAAGAAGGGTGGGGAGGCAGCGTCTGCCCTTATCAGCACCCTCAGGATGGGGACACAGCCAAAGCCACCCATGTAGGTCGCCTCCCTCTCCCATTCCACTCCAGCACAATATTTGAAGAGGACTCCCTTAAAACAGTCGGTGCTCTGAGCTCCTCACTGCCCCTAGCTAAGGAAACTTGCATGTGGGCGTGGCCAGCGCGGTCTATTATCCGCACGGGTCTGCGCAGGAGCCTTGCGTAACATAGTTTGACAGTCCTTCAATTTTGATGCTGGGAGGCCGTGGCTTCTGGTTTATAAGCTGTCTGCGGCTGGGAGAAATACAATCTGTGGAAGGACGCTTGGCAATGTCTAACAAAACACGTCTACTAACTTTTGCAGTCACTGCTCTTGTAGGAAATCATCTTGACGGTATCCTTCCAACACGCAAAAACATACATGTAGGAAAAGCCTATGTGGCTTATGGGAAACTAGTCCTAAGGATTGAGGTGCAGGTGGCCTTCCCTGGGGACGCCAGGGAGGAAACTGCAAGCTGCTCCCCTCTGGGCAATGTGCCAGCATGCTCGCACGTTGCAGGTTCCGGGGATGGAGTCAACAACAGCTGAGATCTCATTTATCGAGATACTTACCTGGGTACACTTTGCAAATAACGAGCTGGGCGTGGTGGCCCACGCCTGTAATCCCAGTACTCCGAGGCTGAGGCAGGAGGATCCTTGAGAGTTCGAGACGAGCCTGGGCTACACAAAGTGAGCTCAAGGCCAGCCTGAACCGCATAGCGAGATCCTGTCTCAAAAAAAGACAAAAACAAACAAAGAAACAAAAAGCAAATCATGAGAAACAGATGAATTTTCCATTAACCTAGCTGATTGTTCCCTCACTAAGCCGAATAAAAGCGAGGTGAGCCAGACCCTGGGGCTCTTCGTGCTTTGGAGGCACAGCCCTGCCCCTCTTTCAAATTGTCTTTAGTCTCTGCAGTTTCTTCCGTTCTGCCTCTTATGCAGCATGCTGGCAACAATCCCAAGGTGGGCCTCCTAACCCCGGCACCACGCTGGTTCAATTCAGCTAGGGTTATAAGTTGACCGCCGGCTGTCATCCACCACACTTACCCTGTCCCTTACATGTGCAGTTACTCTAATGTGTTCATATATTTCCTTGTGCTGTCAGTTCTTCGGAAAATAGTCTCATTTTGAAGGTGTGTATTTGTAATTTATAGTTCACAGCGCTCCTTTGGGGCACTGGCTGCTACTTGTTACTCAGGTTCACTTCCTCTTCCCATGGCTCTGGGCAGGGCCTGGCAGGGCCTGGCAGGGCCGGGCAGGGCAGGGCAGGGCGTTGGCGGGGAGCAGGCTGACCTTTGCCAGCCGCATTCCTGGTTTGGGTCAGCTTCTGGTGCAGCTCAGCCACTGGGGGCCCAGGGGGAGGTTGAGGGCCGAGGAGGGGAGCCCAGAAGCTGGGGTGGGGTCTCCTCTCTGCCTCTGTCTTGAGCTCTTCCACAGCTCCAGGTCGCTTTGCCACGGGTGCCCCCGGACACCGGACACCGGAGCTCACACCCTGCTTTGCCCATCCCTCCAGCTCTAGGTTGTTCCTGGTGTCACAAAGCCTGGTTCCTCCTTGTGTAACTTCCTGGGTGAAATTCCTCTGTTTATTTGTTTGTTTGTTTAGAGACAGGGTCTTGCTCTGCAGTTCAGGCGGGCTTTGAACTCCCAGAGATCCTCCTGCCTCATCCTCCCAAGCACTGGGATAACAGAAATGACCTACCACTCCTAGTGTACCTTTATTTCCTTTGTTGGGATTTAAATTGTTCCAAAGCATGTTAAATGAGAGAAGATATTAAGTAAACTTAATTCTCATGGAGTAAAGAGGAGACTGTGGAAAGTGATCTTATTATCTTAAAGGAAACATAGGGTCTATTCAGATATGCCCAGGCCTAAGAATAGGATGTCACAGGAAAAAAAAGAAAGACGGCTAAAACCACATGGGCAGATAATTTAAGAGAACAGGGTCAAAACGAGATATGTCTAAAAGTGAATGTTTCTTATAGTGTGCAGCTGGTGTACACATGACATGTATTGATTAAACTAAACATTTAATACTTTGTAGTTAATGGAGAAATTAAGAGCTGACTGACAAACAGATTTACCACTGGGAAATCTTCCCTAGGAGTTTAAAAGAGTACAACCAACTGGGCATGGTGGCATACGCCTGTAATCCCAGCCGTGGAGGCTTTGTCTCAGATAGATGGATAGATAGCTTTTTTTTTTTTTTTTTGGTCCCTCCCCCGCCCTGGGAATTGAACTCACGACCTTGCGCTTGCCAGGCAGGTGCTGTGCCACTGAGCTAAATCCCCAGCCAGATAGATAGATAGACAAATAGATAGCTGGCTGGCTCCCAATGGCCAAAATTGGAATACTCTGTTCAATAACATGAGTAGTACTGGCCTATAATAACCCAAAGTATAAAATAAACATCCATGATTTCACACTGATGAAAATATGAGTTCCCAGGACAGCCCACACTGGGTTTCTCAGATGTGGCGTGTACTTTTATTTTTGCTTTTTACCTTCTTTTTCTCTGTTTGGTCCAAGTTCACTCTGCAGAGCTGGTTTCTTCCACACTCATTCACTCTGCACTTTTCAAACAAACTTTAGGCACCATCTTTGGTTTCTCTCATCCAATTCTTTATCTGAGGCAAGAAGGACCTGGAAAAAAGAAAAAAAGAAGAAAAAAATAAAATACAAGGTATGATAAAAATATAGTGTGTTCAAATTTTTAAAATTGTGGAGCCAGGTGGGGTGGTGCACACCCGTAATCCCAGCATTCGGGAGGCTGAGGCAGGGAGATTGCCATGAGTTTGAGGCCAGCCTGAGCTACACAGTCCAGCCTGAACTACATAGAAAGACCCTGTCTCAAAAAACCAAACAAAAACAAAAAGTGGCAAGAATAGCAGTCTATGTTGGAAGTAAGGGTTATGAGTTCGAGACCAGCCTGGGCTACAAAGTGAGCTCAAGACCAGCCTGAACTGCATAGTGAGACCCCGTCTCAAAAAAAAAAAAAAACCTAAAAAAAATTCTACTTTCATTAATCCATGTTTGCAGTATATGCTCACATTCATGTGGGAAACTGCTACATGTTCACAACATATCATAATTCTTTTTTTCTTTTTTTGTCTTTATTTTTGGTCTTTTTGAGACAGGGTCTTCCTATGCAATATGGGCTGGCCTCGAACTTGCAACCATCCTCCTGCCTCAGCCTCCTGAGTGCTGGGATTACAGGTAGATTACAGGTGTGTGTGCACCATCACGCCCGGCAACATATCATAATTCTTTTTTTGTTCCCTTCTCCATATTTTCACTCATTCATCACGAGTGATAAAGTAAGTAGACAGCTAGAGGGGAAGCAACAAGTCCCTCCTGTGGAAGGCGTCACACACTTCCCTACAGCCTCGGCTTCCAAGGTGCAGCAAAGCTCCCTGCTTCTCATGTGTGGGCTGCACATGGTGACTTCCTTCCACGGACTACAAAGAGAGAGGGGCAAAGAGGCACTTCACAGCAGGATAACCTGACAAACGCCGCCTCAGCCAGGTAACCAGGGGTAAGTCATGCTGATAGTGGGTGCTCTTGTTATGTCTGACGACAACAGCCCTTTACCTCTGCGGTCTTTCTCCCCAAAGCCCCATTTAATCACAAGAAAAACTACCAAATTCTATAGAGGGCATCCTATATAATAGTGGGTATGGTTTAGGTCTCAAATGTCCCCCCAAAGTCTCATGTACTCAGGAGTTGGCCTGGTCAGAAGAAGTAGGTCACAGGTAGGTGACCTGGAAGGATGTGTTCTTGTCCCTAACCCCTGCCTTCTCTCTGTCTGCTTCCTGGCTGCAGTGAGGTGAGCAACTTTGCTCCACCTGGCCCTTCTGCCATGATGCTTCTGTGTTGGAGCCAGCCAACCATGGACTGAACCTTTCGAACCGTGAGCTAAGTTAACCCTGTCCTCTCCTATGTTGTGGGTATCAGGTATTGTGTCCCAGCAGTGGGAAAGCTAACTACCCCAATACCTAACTAGTCTTCCTCAGAACTTTCAAGATCATCGAAAGCAAGCAAAAGCCATACAACTAGGACAGCCAGGAGAAGCCTAAGGAGGCACAGTTGAATATAACATGCTTTCCTGGAAGGGGTCCTGGAGACCCCTGGATTGGAGAAATCAGAAAAAGGACAGGTTTTAATTCACAGTAAGGTATGACTATTTGTGTATTAAACGCAACAAAGATACAATACCAAGGTAAAACGTTAATAATAACGGAAACTTGGAACTCAGTGGATGGGAATGTTTTGTATTATCCTGTTTTTCTGTAAATGTAAAGTTGTTTTGATAAACAAAATCTGAGTTGGGTGTGGTAGCACATGCCAAAAATTCCAGCATAGTGAACCCATGATGAACTACATAGTGAGACTCTGTCTCAAAAAAAAATCTGTTTTTTTATTTTTATTTTTACTTTTATTTATCTATTTATTTTTTAAAAGTCTGTTTTAAAAATGTATATACAGCTTGGAGTAGCGGCACATGCCTGTAATCCTAGCACTTGGGAGGCTGATGCTGGAGGATCCTTGTGAGTTCGAGGCCAGCCTGGGCTACAAAGTGAGCTCAAGGCCAGCCTGAACTGCATAGTGAGACCCTGTCTCAAAAAAGATTAAAAAAAATAATAATAATCCCAGCATTTGTGAGGCTGAGGCAGGAGGATCACCAGGCATTTGATGCCAGCCTGGACTAGATAGTGAGACCCTGTCTCCAAAAACAGTGTATGCGTGTAAATGTAAGTTTGCAGATAAAACGATGCTATTTAAAGTGGTAAATGGTGTTTTTTAATCAGCTCTGAAAGCAGAAGCGAGGGGTCCTTTTATTAGTTGTTTGAGGATCCAAATGCTTTTCTTGTTAAAAGACTAAAACATTCCCTATAAATTATACATCCCGCATAAATTGTACATTTGTTATTAACTGCTGGAGGCCGAGGGATAGTCTCTGCCTTGTGTAGGCAACACAATGGCAAGATACTCACTTTTACCCCTTCTCCTCACTGTAGACTTGAAAGTTGTTGTTGCTCCTGGTCCCCCAAGGCCTCCTGTCAAGCTGAACTATATAACTTCTTAAAAAGCTTTTGATCTTAGCATTTGTAAGGGATAAATAATTGAGTAGCATAGGAATTCTGGGAATATATTCAGCTGATGCTCAGCACTGAACTCTTTTTAAATGTCCTGAGGCATCAGCCCAGAACGTACATCTGAAGGCTACCGATTGGTCACTGGGAAGCCGGTGCCAGCGCAGATCAGAAATCCGGGACGCGACGGCCACCAGGGGAACAGCGGTTGGCAGCCCCTCTGCCTCTGACACAGGCAGCCTGCCCTGCTGTGCCGCTCTTCATCCCGAAAGTGTCTATCCTGGAAGACTGTAACCCTTTGGAGAGCAGAGTGCTTCCTCCTGATTGTAACGGAAACCAGCTGAGGACAGAAACTTCACAATGCATAGGAGAAAAGTGCATTTTCATTATTAATATCCACTTGTAATTATATTAAGGTGAAAAAAGTATGATTTAGAGATTTTTAAATTTCATTGTGATAAGAACATTTATTATGAGATCTACTCTCTTAATAAAATTTAAGTGTACATGCTAGGTATGGTGGTGCACGCCTATAATCCCAGTACTTGGGAGGCTGAGGCAGGAGGATTGCCATGAGTTTGAGGCCAGCCTGGGCTACATAGCAAGACCTTGTTTTAAACAAACACAGAGTATACAACTAATAGTGTTTTTTTTTTGTTATTGTTCAGGCTGAACTTGAGCTCACTTTGTAGCCCAGGCTGGTCTCAAACTCACAGTGATCCTCCTGCCTCAGCCTCCTGAGTGTTGGGATTACAGGCATGTGCCACCATGCCCAGCTTCTTTGAGTTTGACTATTGTAGATTTCATATATAAATGCAATCATGCTATTTCACTTATTATGTCATAATAACCTCCATATTCTTTGATGTTGTCAAATATGGCAGATTTCATTCTTTTCAAAGGCTGGATAATATTCCACTGTATAAATCTACTATACTTTATTTGTCCATTCACCCTTTTGATGGGCATTTAGGTTGTTCATACATGTTGGTTATTATGAATAGTGCTACCATGAGTATTAGAACACTAATGTCTTCTTGAGATTTAGATTGGCTGGTTGTGGTGGTGCATGCCTGTGATTCCAGGACTCGGAAGGCTGAGGCAGGAGGATTGCTGCAAGTTTGAGGCCAGCCTGGGCTACATAGTGAGTTCAGGGCCAGCCTGAACTGCACATGGAGACACTGTCTCAAAAAAAAAAAAAAAAAAAAAAAGGTTCAGATTACAATGCTTTTTGGAATATGTGGCCAGAGGCAGGATTGCTAGATTTTATTATAATTCTAGTTGTGATGTTTTAAAGAACTTCCACACCCTTTTGCACTGAGGCTGCACCATTGTGCACTTCCACCAACGGTGTGCCACACTTCCAGTTTCCCTGGGTCCTCGCCAACACTCACCCTTTGGCTTGTGACAGCAGCCCTCCAAAAGGGTTGAGGTGACCACTCACAGTTGTTTTGATTTTCATTTCCCTCCTGGTGACTTTTTTCCTGGCTTTTTTGAGACAGAGTCTTGACATGTAGCCCAGGCTGGCCTTGAACTTGCTGTGTAGCCCAGGCTGGCCTTGAACTCACAGTGATCCTTGTCTCAGCCTCCTAAGGCAGGGATGACAGGTATGGGCCACCCGCTTGGTGATACTGAGCATCTTCTTATACCCTTGTTTGGCTTCTACATATCTTCTTTGGAGGAATGTCTGTCAAGATGTTAGCCTGTTTCTTAGAGCTCCATGACATTTTTTTTGCCAATGATTTTTTGGCTCTGTATTTTTTTTTGTACTGGGAATCGAACTCAGGACCCTGCACTTGCCAAGTAGGTGCTTGTGCCACTGAGCTATGTCCCCAGCCTGACGGTTATTTTTTGGACATTATGTCAAAATCACAAACATCAACAGCATACATAGACAAACCAGCCCACTTCAGACTGAAAAGCTCTGTCTGCACAAGAAACAATCAACAGAATAATAAGGCAGCCTACAGAATGGAAAAAAATAATTGCAAACTCTCACATTGGAGGTTCGTTTGTAAGATGTCAAAAAACTCCTATAACTCAATAGCAAAACAAAATGAAATGCCACCCCCCACATATCAGAACCAATAAACTGAGTTTTTAAAAATTTTTTATTGTCTTTTTTGAGACAGGGTCTCCCTATGCAGTTCAGGCTACCTTGAGCTCACTTTGTAGTCCAGGCTGTCTTGAACTCACAGTGATCCTCCTGCCTCAGCCTACCGAGTGCTGGGATTACAGGCATGCACCACCACGCCTGGCTAGCCTACACAATTTAGCAATTTAGTGAGACCCACCATGACTGGCTAAACTAAGTTTTTAGTGGTTGTTTTTCTTTTTTGTTTGGACTTTCCCTCCTCCTCCCCCTCCCCCTCCCCCTCTTCCTTCTCCTTCTCCTCCTCCTCCTCCTCCTTCTTCTTGTTCTTATTTTGACACAATATCCTACTGTGTAGCCCAGACTGACCTCAAACTTGCAGCAGTCCTCCTGCTTCAGCCTCCTGAATGCTGGGATTATACATGTGCACCCCCATGGTTGGCTTGTAAGCAGGAATTTTAGAATTGGCAATGTAAAACTGTCTGTCACTCTTTCTCCAGATATGGATGGGTCATAAACCACAGACTCCAGAGCTGCCGGCAAGGGTGGCACAGATATTTTTGCAACTGGAAAGGCGAAAGCCAGTTTCCAGAAAGCTAGAGCAAGCCAGGTGTGATGGCACATGACTATAGTCTCAGCACTGAGGAGGCTGAGGCAGGACTGGTGGCAGTTCAAGGCCAGCCTGGGCTACACAGAGCGTTCAAGGCCAGCCTGAGCTGTATTGTCATACCCTGTTTCAAAAAGACAAACAAAGCCTAGAACAGAGAATTAGAGGAGTATAGTGAGAAAAACGGCAGGATTGTACCTTGTGGGCTTCCTGTCATTTTCTTGATTCTGCATCTTTCTCTGTGGTTTAAAATAGATGTATTTTTGTCTTCAGCCCCTTGGTACATGCCAATGTCTTCCTAACAGTTCAGCCTGGGGAATGTAGCTCAAGCGCCTGCCTGGCAAGTACAAGGTCCTGAGTTCGATTCCCGGTACAACAACAAAAAACACAGTCCCACTCTGCGGGGAGGCGTAATTTTCATGCCAGTTGATTTTGCCTCTTGCAGTGAAGTAGCCCACGTTACCGGGGCGGTTCCCTGGTGGCCAGGGCCCGCACCGTCCCGCTGCTGTTGGTTACTCAGCCGTTGCTCTGGCCGTCCCGCCCCGGCGCCGTGCGTGGAGGCGAGGGCTCTGCCACCGGCCCAGCGCCCCAGGCCGGGCTCCTCCCCTCCTCCCTGTGCGCCTGCACCGCCTGAGGCCCTCAGACTCGGGACTCCGGGTCTCTGTGCCCCGGAGCGGACGCGCTCCTCGTTACCCGCGGGCCGGCCTCGCGGGAAGCCCCAGGGCCCTGGGCGGCCAGGGTCCCAGAGGGGGCCTCCCTGCGACAGCGCGGCGGGGTCCCTCTGCTCTCCGAAATACCGTTGCCCGGGGCCCTCCAGGCCAGGAGAAGGGCAGTCCCCCCAGATGCTTCTCAGGTGCTCTAAGGCGGGCCCTCTCCGCTCTCCCTCCGAGAAAACCCGGTTAAGGCTGGAGCCTGCAGAGAACAGTGGCTGTGGGACAAAGGCTGAGCATCAGGCCCCAGGCCCAGGGCAAGCACTCAGGGCCACTGCCTCAGGAGTTGGCCCATAGCTGGGCGTGGTGGTGCACGCCTGTGATCCCAGCACTGGGGAGGCTGAGGCAGGAGGATTGCTGTGATTCCAGGCCAGCCTGGGCTACAAA